TCTTGTAGACCTAATATTATGACTTTATTCTCGTAATGTTACGACTTTATTCTCGTAACATTAAGACTTTATTCTCGTAGACCTAATATTATGACTTTATTCTCAAAATTCCAAAAAATAATAATATTTTTTTCTCTTAGTCTGGCCCTAATACTCTAGATTTACTGGGAGATCCCGAGAGCTGCTATGTTCAAATATGTAAAGCTCAAACGATTAATCAATGAATCAATCAGTTAGTTGATTAACAGAAACATTTATTATGATAATCAACAGAAACCTGCTTCCAGCTTCAGGAATTGCTGCCTTTGTTTCTGTTTTATATAATTTTATACTGAATTAAGATAAGACAGACTTTATTGATCCCACACTGGGTAAATTCACTTGTTACGGCAGCTACAGATACAACACAACAAATAAAAATAAAATAGAAAAAACACAAGATATAATAAAGAATAGAAAGAATAAGAGTTGTATGTACACTACATACAGATTTTATACAGTGATTTATATGGAAGATTGCACAGGTTACTGCAGGAGGTAGTGGCATGGTGTAAAATAAATAACTGAACAGGATAATATATATATTTATCTAAATATGTATATGAACTGTAAAGTACTAATAGTGCAAGTAACATACTAAATAGGGCAGATGTGTTGACAGATGTTACAGAGACAAACAGTGGTACATTATTATATAATTAGGATGTCGTAATATACTAATACTGGCAATAATCATAATATTTAATTAAATATTGATATAATATATAAATAATCCAGCACCTCTTAAAGGACCAGTGAGTAGGATTTGGTTTGATTTGATGGCATTTAGCGGCGAAATTAGATTGCAACCATCTGGATACAGCTCCAAGGTTGTTGAAGAAACTAGGCAAAACGCCCTTGGTTTGTCCTTTCTGGGCTACTGTAGAAACATGGCGGTTCAACTTCATGGAAGGTGACCTGTAGTATCTGTAAATGAAAAAGACTCATTTTGAGGTATCAAAAACACAATTATTCTCATTTTTAGGTGATTATACACTATTGAAAACATACCTATGAA